CTAATTGAAGTGAGGGGCATTTATTAGTACTTGATAGATGCTCGATCGTTTAATAAATTTACCAAACTGTTGAATAAACCATTATCAGATTATAATGCTTGATTTTCAATATCATTGTGTTTGCTACAAAAATATATGTTATGAAAATGAGTAAAAGAATATGTAAATCAAACATTACTGAAACATACGTTATAGTTTTAAACCTTCAATCAGTTAAGTTGAGATATATATGTTCTTTGTGAGAGTTTAAAACAAATAAAAGTAGGTGTTGTGGAATTTCACACCAATAAGGCAATAACTTTGTAATAAATCTTTACATCTAAACATGATCAAAGCAATCTGGTTTATATAGAATGAATTTTCTAAATTTAAACCCCTTTTTTCATTTTGAAGTCATTTTACCTTCAAGTTGTAAGATCTAAAAAGTTTAACTTTTCTGATAATTTTTATTGCTGATAGCATCTTTTGTTTACATCAAATGTATATGAGTATTTTTTGTTTTCTTGGCTTTTTTCCTCCTAGGGTAATTGAATCATTTTCTCTTTGTTTTAGATGTTAGGCACAGATCTAGATCAAAAAGTACGGTATCATTAAGGACATTTCCATCAAATACTAATGTTTACTGTATTTATTTGTGTTTGCTGCATGTTTTAACATCTTCTTTCTTTTTTATTTGCACATAAAGCATTTGAGAGTCAACACATTCTGTAATGCTGATTTCTCAGTTTTCTTTTTCATTCATAGTAAATATTTTGATTTCTCACAAACATCTGTATTTATTTGTGTGTTTCTTAAATCAAACTTAATTTAGTCAGGTCTATTTTGTATTTCCTAATATTCCAATGTTGTTTTTACCTTAAAAAATTAGAGGACTTTACACGTTATACAGTAATATTTTTTTCTTTTTGTACAAAGACTTCATAGTATTAAAACAGTATTAAAGAGCAATTTCTAATATTACTAAAAGGCAGTAAATAATTTAAAAGAAGAAATAACAGTCAGATGATTTCAGATTTGTATTAAAGTGATTTTTTTCCCCGATCTGACAATACATCAGAGCGATCAGACAAAAGATTTTTCATGCAGGATGGAAATGTTTGGGAAAATTCATAGAGAAACATTGAAAGAAGAAATTAAGAATACTGAAAATGTGTATCCAAAATTTAATTCCTTTGATGCACATAAACCAATCACTTAGAGAAGACAAGTTTTAAGTAACCAAATGCTCTGGTTTTCATGTACTAGTATCTTCATTGAAATTCCAATATTTTAATCTTTTTTTTGTAGACAACAAGAATAGAAGGAAGTCTCATTATGATAACAGAGTTCTACAAATACAGGTAAAGTTAAAGTATTAGAATTGTAACATACTGTTACAAATACAGGTTAAGTAGGAATTTTTGTTCATTCTTTGTTTAAATAAGCATTTTCATATTTCTTCACTCTCTGCTGGAGATTTAATCTGTTAATTCTAATTGACAGAATACACCAGTACTGCGGAAGTACAGCTCCTGTTCCACAATATTTATTGACGATTCCACCGTCAGTCAACCAAACCTCAAAAATACGATAAAAGCTGTGGCCTTTGCCATTTACTTTCATATACGAAACCGTGAGAGTAACAGAACATTGGAGATTTTTGATGAGAGGCTTCATCCTTTGTCGGTAAGAACACGTCAAGCTAATTACAAGAAAATTATTTATATGTGGAAGACAAATCTGAACATATATCATGTTTTCTTATTAAGCATTCTGTTTACATCTCATTGTGCTACCTCTAACCTGATTCACAATGCGTTTTTCTTTTCCACTCCAGCGAGACCAGGTGCCAGAAGATTATGACCGCCGAGACCCGGAACATAAACATATTTATAGATTTGTTCGGACCTTGTTTAGTGCAGCCCAGCTGACTGCAGAATGTGCAATAGTTACCCTGGTAATGCTGCTAGTCATGCTTACATATTAAAAGTATCAGAGTGCTATTTCATCTTTGATGCTTAAATATCAATTTGGTTAATATCTATTTGCTTACCTGACTAAATCATTATTTAAGAAATTATGTTACTCTTTTGAATACAAATGTCTATAAATTGTTCATTGTTTAAGTTTTGAGTCTTTTTCTGTAGGTGTACTTGGAGAGGCTACTTCATTATGCAGAAATTGATATTATGCCGGCAAATTGGAAGCGTATTGTCCTGGGTGCGATACTGCTGGCGTCCAAGGTGTGGGATGACCAGGCGGTGTGGAATGTGGACTACTGCCAGATCCTCAAGGACATAGCAGTGGAGGACATGTAAGGCTTTATTATGCTATTATATATATAGTTAACAGTAATGTCAAAGACTGAGATGTACATGTATTTATCAATAAAGGCAGGAGCATTGATACAATTTAGTTCAGTAGCAATAATTATGAGATTTCAGCAAATGGCATGCTTTTCAATTTACATACATCTAGATATTTTTGTTCATAAAAAATATGTAAAAGCAATAATATATGCCAGTAATATAAGAATTGGGGACATAAAGGTTTCTTTCTATCTGTGTCTCAGCAAAAAGTTTAACCTAACCTTTGCCTGTTGGCCATAAGTTTTGAATGGTTTGTGCTAGGGCTTACATATTTCACATGTGTTTTTTGTGATGAGAACTTTCTTTAAGTACCAGCAATTTTTATCTCTAGATTTTGTAAGTTTGACCTACATGTGAAAATCTTTTACTTTAGCCAAGTGTCACCAAACAGGGACATCAGTTTTTCACTTACACATCTTGTTTTTACAGGAATGATCTTGAAAGACAGTACCTAGAAATGTTACAGTTCAACATTAACGTGGGGTCGAGTGTATATGCCAAGTACTACTTTGATCTGAGGGCACTTGCAGATGCCAATGACCTTAGCTTCCCATTAGAACCACTCAGTAAAGACAGAGCCCTCAAACTAGAGGTAAACTTAGGTCTTTTAATGTAGATATTTCATTTACTATAACTTTGCCAACTTTGCCTTATGTATTGAATACATGTTATAAACTTGGTGTACAGTAATGTGAAGATTTTAAATGCTTCAAATTATCATGCAAGAAAACTGCTTGATCTTCATCATAAAACCAATAAAATTCATATGTGCATAATTGAAATCACTTATTTTAATGCTTTAATATCTGTGTATGTCCTTGAAACCTAATGAAATGTTAACTTTTTTCCTTCAAGGCGATGTCTAATGAAGATGGTATAGAGAGGATCAACCAAAAACCTACCCTGGTTCGTTCTAACAGTTTAGACGGCATGACAGCCAACCCCCGACTTAGTGTTGCTATAATCTCATAACCGCGGAAATCAAGCTTAACAAGCACAACGAATATGTAACAAGTCTTCAGTATAGTTACACAAATATATGAGCTTTTGGAATAATTGTGCAATAGTTTTGTAAATTTCTACATCATGTGATAAAGATTCAAGTTTTAATATCCATTCATGAAATTTTTCAGTGTAAACAGTGATATCTGCTATATTTGCCTTCTTATTCGAAGTCTTTTTTCTCTCTTAACAATGTAATGATGCCTGTTTTGTGAAAAAAAGGTGAAGATTCCCTTTTCATAACAGATAGACATGGTATTTCCCTCTTTTAGAAAACATTTTTGGAGTTCATACATTCTATCATCTGGTTGCTAATAAGAATTTGGTATTATACCCATCTGATATGGCTATTTTGGACAAATATTTCTGATTGTTTCCATTCTTGCTCAAATTAGTTTCAGTATATAATCTCTATTTCATTAGGTACACCCCGTTCTATGATAATCTAGGTACTCCACACTGGAGATGTCCTGAAGATGTTATGTGATAATGTACATGTAAATCAAAGTCCCTGAATCAAATTCTGGAGATTTATTGCGCTATGTACCAGTTTGTAGAGTATATGTGTAATTAAATGCCTTGTCCCAACTTTGAAAGTTTATAAAACAAGCTACATCAACATTGATCTGTGTAGTTCTTGAAAAAAAATTCGATGATTTAGACAAAATTAATAGTTAATGCTACTAAAATAGAGTGGCTTATAGTTCATACGTATGTAGTAGATTTTATTTTCAATATTGGTGCTGAATCTTTATGTGCTATTTTAATTTATTAATTGATTGGGATTTGTGTAATGAAATCCTTTTCCCAATTCATAAAATAAAACCAGGTCTCGATTTCATTGATACATGTAACTAGAAAATACAATGGTAAGCACAATTCTTTTGTCTCAAAAGATCTCATTTCAAATTAAAAATGTTCATTATAAACTGAAACCACAAAATGTTAAGTATAGGAAGTAATTGTACAAATGTTTGTCTTTGTTTACGTCCTATGTTTACGTAATGAAATCTGTCGTAAGAGAAGAGACAGGTCGGCATAATCCTGTTGGAGTTGAATCAAGAGAAAATATTTCTTTTGTAAGAATCTCATGAACACGTGATCTTTTTATGAAGCTAGTGTTGGATGCTCTGTATTGTGTCCCTGTTTGTCAAATAACTACAAAAAGAAAACCATTCATCATTTGTCAGCCATGGATATTAAATCAGGTTAAATGGTTGTGATCATTTCAATGCTGCACAGTCAGTCAACTCTTTGTCAGTTTAACAGAGAAGTTGAACGTCCTTAAGTACTGATTCTATAATTCTGTCTTAAACGGTTCCTTTTAAAACACAAATTTATGGATAAAAATTTTTTGGCCTTTAATAGTTTATTTCCCATGTACTGCTATTCTGCACTCAAATTAATTTGGCCATAAATAGACATGACAGAAAAGGAAACCTTTCAAAGATTTCTTTCATCTTAAAAAAATTATTCTTGGACTTAAAGAACCAGTTATTTCTACACTTTTATTTTTATTTACTGATGAAGGAGAGGTTTTGTTTAATACAGTTTTGTAAATGTTTCATGTTGTCTTTCAAACTATAACTTTTGATGTCTTTGTAAAGTTATAATGAAGACATATGATAGAATGCTCTCTTAGACCTAATCTGTGATTAATAATGTATAAAGCATGTCATTTATACTAGTGATTACGTAGTGGTTAGTTATGGACCCAGAGCTTTGGTCAGTTTTATCAGTACAGATCGTTACAAGCTAGTCATTTATTTCCTGTCAATACAGGTCTCACTCTGTATTTTATTGATGTAGAATATCTGGTATTTATTTTTAACAGTCGTAATGTATTGATCATATCCCTACCACCTATTTAATTTAATACCTAAAACTAATTCTTGTAAATTTTTTTGAGTGATTTTTTCATCAGTATTAATGATAAACAAATTGTACATTTTAGATTGATATTACTGTGTGTTCTGTTTTTTTTTTTTTAAGATTTTTTTTCATCGATAGCTTTTTGTATATAAAGGGTCCAAGTTGTCACATGTGCTTAACTGCACTAAAACAGTCAAAATGAAAAACTACTGAAATTAGAATTAAGGCCATAGAAATGTCATAAGTATTCTCATTTTATTTAAAGAAAGGAATTCTTAAAGGTATCCCTACAAAGACATATAATATTTCTGAAAAAAATACTATACATCAGAAAAAACTGAAAAATTATTTTTTGGTTTGTGTGAATAATAAAACAATACAACTTGAACTAGAGTTTTGGCCTGGATTCTATATACATGTATGTTACTAAGCATTATAGATGGTTTCATTTGTATGAAGTTTCATTGTACATGTACAGTTTTTAGTTGCATGGATAAACTGAGGACAAAATGTAAGCTTAAAGGATGTTAGTGAAATGTTAGTTTAAGTTTATTTGTCGGAGAACTCTTGCAAAATTGTTCACAAGTGTGAAAGGACAAAAAAGAAAAGAAAAAACCTCTATTTACAGAAATATCTACTGAAAAACAATTTAAGTCAAATCATTAAAAAATTACTTTTTTGAGAGGTTTATTCTCCATATTTAATTTATTGTTCAGATCTATGGTTCCTTTTACACAGTATGTTCTCTTTATGTTTATTTGCACCCCCCTGGAAAGTCGATTTTTTGTATAAATTCTAGTAATTATCAAACAAGTGAATGATTTACTGTGTGTATTAGTAAAGATGATGCTGGCATTTTGTAAAAGTGTATGAAAGTCTTGATTATACATTGTTCAGTTTCTACTAGTGGAACAATATTGTATATCATTTTATTTGTTGAATTATCTGTGCTTTTATTTGTAGGGCTGCTTGCCATTGTCAATAAAAAGGGAATTATTAGTAAATTATGTCTTATCTTTTATTTGCAGTGGGCAGTTGTCATTACAATAGCACTTGACAAGCTATAACATAAAATATTCCGTACTGTGTTCATGAGTAAAATAATTTTGTCTTCCTAAATATGAGAAGAATTCTTTGCTAAGAGGAGTACAATTTGGATAAAATATTTTGAATCTTTATAATGTATTTTGTCAATCTAATTAAAATTAGATGTTAGATCCGCTTGCATACTCGCTACACTAACTGATTGGTTGATGGAATTTGACCTCTGACGTGACCTTCAATGGGATGTTGTTAGATGTTAGTGTATGCGAGCGGATCTAACATCTAATTTTTATTAGATTGGTATTTTGTCGTAACATTATAACTGTAACATTTTGTATATATTGGTTCAGAGTTCTTCATCTCCCCTTTTATTTTAGAACTACTGCAAATTTTTATTCATATGAAGCAGAATTTATTTAAGAAAATAAAATTCTTCATGAAAAAAATTTTATGCTGTGCACGTGGCCTTCACTTCAACGTTTAGTTAAATATTGATGACTAAGCAATTAAGAGTATTCAGTAATTTCTATTTTGATTCGATACACTCAAAGTAACCTTTTGAACTTGAAATTAAAGATTACACAGTGTCTCACACTTCTGTTTCATATTTGGGTATTTTTATTAATTTCCCAATGACCCAATATTAAGAGGGAAAAGGCTTGAAAACGACTAATAATAAAAAGGCCTTATGCACGTCTTCTTGGAAATTGATATAACCTGTTCTGAAAAGATAAGGTTTTGGGATCTACAAGTAATAGTGCATTAAAAAGAAAGCGGTCGACATAATGCAGATTTACGTTTCTCTTTTATCCATTCTATTTGGTAAGTTTTTGAATATACACTAAAGAAGTTTTTATCTATGAACCCTTTTTGTGAGATAAACATTATAGAATCTCAATTATGTAAAATCATGCTTTCGAATTGTAAAGGACAACTCGATCTGCATTCTCCTTACTTGTTCTACATACGTTGAAAGCAAAATCGCCCGGCCAGACAACCATGGTAGAGAATTTTTGTGGTTATAACCACATAAACAATTTTCCTACAGACTCTTTTGGGATAGTGAAAACGAATTAACGACGTTCGATCCTGATATTTAAAGTCTTAAACTTTTTTTGCCAAGTATATTTTTAGTTTCTACATACATAGCTTAATTAAAATTCAAATCAAAAAATGGGGGTCAATATGCTTCTTTTAGCGCTACAGTACATTTAATATGACCTTTCTGCACTGAAATTTGTGTCTTAATTAAAAATTACATCTTCGACGTTTTCCCTGTAATATTTTTATCCAATTAAAGCATGAAACAAAATGAACTCTATGTCTGTTTAAAAAAAGACACTTAAAAATTGTGACTAAGAAAAAGTTTCAAATTGCTTCCAATAATCAATTATTTAACCTTTGTGCACTAATAAAATGTTATTTTTCCGGCACTGAAAATATAATAAGCAAGAAAATTATTTTAAAGTCTTAAACTTTTTCTGGTTTTAAGGAAATAGGTTATCCTGAATATTTAGAAAAGGACATCAAAAGTGGGGGTATATGATGTAAATTTTCAGATATTACTAAAAAAAAAATTTTACGTTAAAATTGGCTCAATTTTTTCCCGGATTTTCAGAATATATTGACTATAATATTTGTCACACTTTGTTGATAGAATTCATAAGAAATAATTTAATAGATATTTCAGAACCAGCACAACACATTTCACTGCAAAAAAACAGCTTTGTGTGCAACCAGGATTGAAAAATAGGAATCCAAAATTAACAGTACTGTTGTAGTTCAAAATGGAAAAACTGATCATTTTCGTCTAAAAAACCTTCCGCCACAAAATATAGTCCCTAGCTTAATTCTACTTGAATGTTTAATCGCGGTTTTTTCATTGGATATATTTAAATTTGCACTGTAGAATTCAGATTTAATTTTAGAACTTAAAAATGATGCAGAATTTTATAAATAAACAGGGGCGTAGTATCCGGGGGGGCCAGGGGGGGCCAGGCCCCCCCACTTTTTCTCCCGACATTACCTTTACTATAGAAAATGTTAACTGAAAGGAAGGTTGGCCCCCCCAAATTTAAAGGGTAGTTTTATAATAAAATTAACCCCAAAAAGTTTGAATTGAAAGATAGTTGGTCTTGAAAAAAGTAAGCCACTACCCCCCCCCCCCCCCCCCCCCCCCCCCCCCCCCCCCCCACGAACTAGGCTTTTCGACTTCGGGCAACTTTAAATTTTTTCGTTTTTTTTTTGCTTGTCAACTTTTTCAGGTAAATAAAAAAAATTTTTCTCAGGTTGGCCCCCCCCACTTCCAAAAACGATGCTACGCGCCTGATAAAGGACCTGGCCAAAATACGCTCAAAATCTCAGGATCGAACGTCCTTAAGAATATATTTTAAAGAGGATTTAAAGACTGATTAATTTTTTAAGTTTTTAGTTTCACTCTTCAGGCCCAAGAAGTATGATAAGATTCCAAGAGGCCTATGGACATTTTAATAAATCTCTGAGATAGGCTATATACTTGAAATTTTCCACAACTAACACCTTTCATAGGTATACTTAATCTAGGCATTGGATCTTGGGGCGTACGTTTAGCCCCCCCCCCCCCCCTTCAAAAGGTACTCATAATACTGCGTTTTGTGAAGTGGCAGGTAACGTTTCACATAAATATTTAGATATACATGATGCCGCAAGGTCGTAGGAACCAGGGTTTGGCCCCGGCCAAACACAATGAAGGCATTTCTGAACCAGAGATACCAAAAGAACACATACAGTGTGATGGGAAGATTAATAATGTTACATTTCATTTAGCTAGTGAATCCATACCGGCATGGAAAAAAGCAGTACTTGATTTCTTCGATGAGAAAAAAAACAACTGTGACGACCAGTGATATTTGTTGTGTTATAAAAGTGGTTTTTGACTATGAAGGCTCGGTCAATAACTCCGTGAAAATAAATTTCTACCAATCAGGCTCCGTAGTTATTCAAGGCGCCAAATGTGTCCAATTTAAGGACAAGTACTTTGCCTCCCTCAATCAGAAAGCACAGAGCGTGCATGAAATTCAAGAATCACTAATTGCTGATGATGCACAAATTCATGAATGTGATGACAATAGTAGTCAAGGGAGCGACATGAATGACACAGTTTTAGAACAGACCGATACTGAAGAAACAAAAGAAAAATGGGTCACAGACACCAATATCATAGACCGACCAAATCTTCTAATGCCAAAAGTGGATGCTAGTTGTAACACAGAGCAAAGTGATCTAGCTGAATGCCAGAGTATTACACCCAGAGAACAAGCAGAAACCCAAGTGATGACATTTATGTCTAGAATGGAAAGCCATTTCACAGGTGCGATTGAAAGGATATTTAATCAACACTCAGCAATATTAACAACAAAGCTAGAAACAATGCAAAAACTACATAATCAAAGCATGCAAGCCAATGAAGTGAATTTCACACAACTACTGAACAAATTTGATGATCTTATGAATAAGACATCAAACCTTGAAAAAGAAAACACAGAACTCAAAACAAAAATGAACAGTTTCAATCACATGTCAACACTTGAAAAAGAGGTATTAAAATCTAACCTAGAAGCAAAATGTTCATCTCTGCAACAACAGAATGACACATTCTCAGAGAAAATGAAGAGGTACACAGAAGACCTGCAAAAGACCACAAATATCATGGCAGATAGATCTGCCCAGATAGATACATTAGAGACAAAAATTGCATCAATGAAGACACAACTTGATAAAAAGGATGAAGAAATTGTGAGCTTAAAGTTACATAATTGCCGTGACGATAACAGCGGGGACTTCCAAACAAAAACAAAAACAACTCATCGAAACCATGTAAAACCCCATGTCACCTTGATTGGAACTTCCAATATAAAAGGAATAAACCCAGATAAACTTTCTTCCCAGTATAGTGTGAACAAAATAACTGCCTATACTTTAGAAGATACTGTTAAAGAAATCAGAAATTTAACAGAGACTCCAGATCTTATTACGTTACACTCATTGACAAATGATTTAAGAAATAAAACTCCTAATGCATGTGTAGAAGAGATGTCAGAGATATGCAAATTAATTCACGACAAAATGCCAGTTACAAAAATTGTAATTTCACTCCCAACTCCAAGGAAAGACTCGGATGAATACAATACCAGAGGACAGATAGTCACTGCCCTGCTGAAACAGAAACTGAAGGATGATAGTCTTGTTATCTTTTGCGACAATAGTAACATGGCGTACAAGGGAGAAGTAATTCTAAGATACGTTGATGCTAAGGATGGATACCACCTTTCCCACCAAGGCACGGCAGTGCTGGCGTCTAACATACGCAGCTCAGTTGACACAGCTTTGAACTTATCTCGTCGCGTAATGCAGTACAAAGGAAGAGGCTACTACAATACCCCGTATTATGGTAACAAGGGTCGGGGAGGTGACCGTTGGCGTGGACATGATTTCAAGTCTCAGTGGTGACTCAAAGTTTGCCAATTTTCAAGTCTAGTCACGTTACCGTTTTTCTTGATTAAAAGTAATTTACTTGTGTATTCAAGTTTGTAAATCTAGACATTTTAGTTTCATAGTTTACCATTTAGTTGTAATAGTTTGTACAACAAACTGAATATTTGTCCAACCAATTATAGTCAATAGTGATACCCTGTTTACACTTTTTATTAACACCATTATATAACATTGTTGTCATTGTACAAAATCATTTATAAAACAAAATATCAACCAACCGGTTGCAAGTTTTTATCTATAGTTACTATTATTATATTCCATCGGCTGTACATTATTTTATTGTATAATACTTCTGTCAATTATTCTTTTAGAATTAGTATATACCTATTTACAGCCTCATTATTACCATTACTGTTCCCACAATTTGTTATATACAATTCACATGAGAAGCAGTTTAAATATTTGTAGTTGGAATGTTGGGGGTCTCTTATCTGAACATTATGACAAGACCCTAGATAAAGAGTTTTTAGCAGAATTCAGTAACTTCGACTTAGTTCTTTTAACAGAAACACATGTGGGATATGAACATAACATCAAATTTGAAGAATTTAATTACTATCCTTTTTGTCGTCAAAAATCCAGAAACAATCGATACTTTGGAGGTCTTGGCATTTTGGTCCGTAAAAGCATTAAAAAGGGAATTAAGATCCTTAATGATGGCACTTCAGAATATCAGTGGATAAAACTGTGTAGAGATTTCTTTAATTTTAAGAGGGATATATATCTATGCATTGTTTATTATGCACCAAAAAGTAATATTGATTTATTAGAATTACTTGAAAATAGCATTATTGAGAAATATAAGAACTTAGGAGATATCATTCTAACTGGTGATTTTAATGCCAGAACGGGATCAGATGCAGACTATATAATAGATGACAGTACCCTTCACATTCCAATTAACAACAATAACTATAATATTGATGTTGCAATTGAACAGAGAGTTAGCCAAGATAATGTTGTTGATGTTAGAGGCAAAGATTTATTAGAATTTTGCATAAGTAACCAAATACGTATTTTGAATGGAAGATGCTTTGGTGATAGTTCAGGCAATTTTACCTGTCTAAAGTCTTATGGATGTAGTGTAGTTGATTATGTGCTTGTTTCACAAAGTCTATTTCATGATATTCTTTATATGGGTGTATCAGATTTTAAAGCAAATTTTTCTGATTGCCACTGTAAACTTTCTTTTAAGATTTTAGCATCCTTTGATAATGATTATATGAATAATGAGTCTCTATTACATGATTTTCCTTTGCGTTATGTATGGAATGCAAACAATGCGCTAA